GTAGCTACTTCCAGCACGCAAAAAGTAAGAAAATATCCAGTAGTTTTCTCAGCCGCAGTCACGTACAAGCAAACATCAGAAAACTGGTTGAAACAGCTCGACTCTTCCAGCCGAGCTTAAGAACCAAAAAACCCTCTATACCTCGTATTTGATAACGGCGGCTGAATGGAACGTGACCCTAATGTTACACTTCATTAAAAAACGAACCAAAAGCAATTTAGTTTCAGTAGTCTTGCCTTCTTTATCAACCGCGTTGATATGAGAAAGGACGACTCAGCCAAACACAGAAAGAAAAGCCCGTTAAATTGGAAAAAGAAATCGAAAACCGGTAAATGAAATTTTACAATGTAAAAGTTTTTAGCAGAGGAAAAATAAGAACAGTATCCTAAAGGCTAGGATGTAAATGCTATCCTCTTTTCTACAGGTTGAAAATGTTGACCAAAAATGGCAAAAAATTCACTGAAGACTTCGAATCTCACCCTCACTTACTTTTTGCAATTACTGTCACGTATGATAAAGCTTACAATATTACTCTAAAATTTTATTGACAAGCCAGTAACAATAAAAGTGTCTCTTTTACAGGTGAACGAAAATGAGTGTATATTACGGACCTATAATTTTCTAAGAAATTTGTGATGACATGCTTTTTTGCAGCGCTACCTGACTTTTCGTTCCTCCTAGTTTACACAGTCCTAAAATCTCTCAGATCTTTTCAAAATCCTTCCCTTTTACGTTGCAACAAAGGGTAGCATCCCTTTTTCTGCAACAACTCTAATGGCACAAATTACAGCGAAAAGTTTACATAGATAACAGGACCGCACAGGAATTAAACTAAATAACAAATCAGACTTCAGAAAGCCTCACTCAATGAAATCATAAACGTCCTTAACTGCAAGACATTCTTCTTTGCTGTTTCTGAAAGCTAACCCGATCAAACAAACGAATGACAGTGTTGGCTTTCGAACGGTAGGGGTACTCAACGAGGGTTTTGTATCACTTTCTCGGCTGTTTGTAACAGTCTTAGCAGGAGAGTTCTCGCGAACCGGTTTTGGTACATAACTAGGCTCAGCATCGACGTTGCGAATTTGACTCTATAAACACGTTAGTTCAGTACAATTCAGGAAAAAAAAAGGTAATTCTGAGAAATATCTCAAAAATATCCTTTGCTCAGTATTTATCCTCCCCTTTGCAGTTCAGCGTGTAATTAATTTTAGATCTCTTGAACACTAACAATTGGGAGGAAAATAAACCTAGAAATTTCGCTTTTGTTGCGCTATGAAACAATATACCCTGCAAAAAAGTCCTTCTTCCGAATTCCCGAACGCTTTTTTTGTAAAATACAAAAGTTAGAAACTGATCTTTTGTAGCTTTTTACTGAAAAACAGTGAAGAAATTTCTCACAAAAAGAAATAAGGTCATTTTAAAAAAGATTTAGAATCTAGACAACGAACTAATTTCCTCTTTGCAAAAGAGATCTCTATTGACAAGATGCACTGAAAACTACAATTACCCTCTGCACTTGGCTGTAACCCGCATCAGCGTTATTCAAACCGCTTCTGATATCCTGTACAAAACAGACTGGCTGCGACGTTGACGGTAATGGCACAGCATCGCTAATTACTGCATTACAGGGAGTTATTGGTAAAAGGTTAAAATTATTATTGACACTGTTTGTCTGTTCATAAAAAGTAACATTTTGAAGTACAGCATACTGTTTCTCTTCTGAATTCATTGGTGCCAAAATCTATTCTTCGCTGCGTACCACTCTGAAATTAGGAGAAATTCCGGAGTGTAAGAAGACGTGAACAAATAAGATGTTGACGCTGCTATTACTTTACAAATTTTAATTAAGTTGAGCAAATAAACTTTATCTAAAGGTTTAACTAAATCGAAAGCCACTTAGACCCTTCACTAGTTGCTACTTTTAGAGACTTGATGACGGTAAAAAAAGTCCTGCCAGTTCATCAGAACTCAACTATCCGCTAGCGCAAAGCATTCTAAGTCGTAAAATAGTGTCGGAATTCAGATTTCTTCCGCAAACCAAGCCCGATGAACACTGTATTTCTAAACACCACAATTGCCTTTGCAGGGAACATAAAGATAACTCGCTAGTTGGGCCATACAACTTAATAAGCAGGTAACAGCTAATCCCGTCCCTTTTTTTTTAAAGTACGTTAACTAAGAAGCAACAACTGTCACATGACACTGGCAGTAACAGTACCCAAAAAGGACTGTAACTATAGAAATAAACATTGGTAAAGCAAAAAAGAAAAAAAAAAATAAAAATAAAAGAGAAGAACACACATCGACAATGAGAACAGAAACTACCGACTCCTAATCTCGCTAATTTAGAACCCTTTGTTGTTAATAAATGTTGTTGGCAGAAAGTTTCCGGGTCTAGAGCGCTGAAATATCATTTCACCAAATTTCAGCTGTTCACTTTTTGAGTCCAACGCCATATAGTCCTATTCTCTTCTTCTTTACCATTCCCGATCTTGCAATATCAAGAAAACTTACACGTTTTATGGACTTTATAAATTGAAAAAAAATCTAAAAAAATTAAAACACCAAGAGATCTTAGAATCTTCATCAAATCTAACAACTGGCTTTCAAAATTGCTTTAAATTATAAGTGATATCAACGATAAAGAGAGGAGGAATAAAGATAGATGTCTTACGAAGGAGGAATATGGTTGTTTCAGTTCCACTAGTTGGTTAAATCCAATCAGAATAGTTGTTGTTGTTGGTATTTTATAATACCATAGACATCCAAAGTGTTAAATAATGATAAGGATTCTTTACAGTGTGTGAACAGTTGCGTTGCCTCTGCTCTGTGTAACAGTTCCAATCTTATTATGTGGGAAAAACAAGAAAATTTGGAAAAAAAAGTTGGAATGGCGTTTCTTTTCTCTTTCTTTTTTTTTTTTTTTTTTCTAAAGACAGCTACTTCACAATATTCTTTCTGAGGGCACAAAAGGTTTAGATTTGTCTGTGGTCTGGCAATAAACCTTTTTTTAACTTAGCTTTTCAAGATTACTAGTAATGACTGCTCAAGTAATTGAACATTTATAGCGATATGTAAGATCAGGCGTCAGTAATATGGGAGATTTTCCCAGATTAGTAAGTGAAAAATATGATATATGCAAAAATCAGTGGAACTTGACAACAAGCTGGACCAAGAGGAGAATTTTGGAACATTAAAAGAGCAATTTAATGAAACGTTTACAGTCATATTCACATACCTATTTCCATATCTGCATCTTAT